CTTGAAATGAACTGAATGACATTGCTTCTAGAGTAACTAGTTTATTGGTAAGAAATACACTTGTATCATTGTCGATAGACTGTTGTGCTAAGTTACATAATGATGCGAGACTACGAAACTGAATGCTAAGAAGTTTAAGATCGCGAAAATTGGTCACAACATCTCGCCCCCACAGATAACCCCACCATTGTTCTGCAACGAAATCGCTAGAACATACTTGATGTAAACAAGGTGAAATCGAAAGAAATACATCGTATTGAATAGAGGCTTGTGAGCATAAACATGAGAGACTTGACTTTTGTTGATCTTGTAGGTACGAAAATATTGTTTGAGATGGTGAGAGAACTGTAATAGTGCGTGTTTGTTGACTAAAACTTGTGAAGAAAATAATGATACCTAAAGATAAAGACAACAAAATGATGTAGAGTCGACTTGGTTTTTTCGTGTCGATATCATGGTCTGCTGGCACATTATCTTTGAAAACATCTATGTTCAACAACGTATTCCGTGCATTTACTAATAGTAAGCACTGCTGATTGTTGCGCTCAATGATTTCTGGATCTGAAATGAACAAATAAATTGGTTATTGACCTAAACAATATTGCTTTCCAGAGTACAAATGACTTTGCATATCAAAGAAGACAATACTCGCACGAATTCCTTTTTTTCTCCTGTGTGATCATTTGAGATTCTTGTTGCATGTACATTCTTTCTAAGGACTACAATCATGAGGTGATTACACTAACATTATGGAAGTGTTGTCAAGCTAAAACAACTTCTTCCTAAGCTGGTAATTGGGCAACATTTTTATTAATACTTTCAAGGAGACTGATGTCAAATAGGATTCATTCTAGCCATTCAAATTCAGGCATATTCTAGACGTACGAATATACTATATTTACTCAGGGATGCCACCAGTTTTTATAAGACCCAGAGTCGATTACATCATTGTTATTCATTCGTCTATTTGTTCTACATACATACTTCTAGTAAACATGAATAGAATATGCTGTATTCAATTTCTCCTATTTGTAGCTGCTCTTGAATTCAAAATTTTTACAAGAAAAAACGTTTGAAAGAGAACAAAATGAACATGCACTAGTCCTTAGGAAGGATTTCATAGCTAGAAGCATGCATAAACTTTTTCTGGTCATGCAGTAATAGTGAAATATGTGACAAATGTTAGCCATTGATTACATCGAAACTCAAAACAACTGATCTTAATTACTAAACTATATAGTAGAAGGAGTCTAGGCCATATTTTCTGCCGTTTACTATTGCACAACGAAAGATCTTCTGTGGTAAAATCGAAGAAATACTTGTATCTTTGCAACAATCGCAGAGATAGCTCATTTCCACGAAAATACATTTATATTCGCTACACTCATATGGATCAATATTAAAGATCGGTAACAATCGAAGATGAAAACCACTGTCATTCTCAAAATTAACAAGATGACGATAATTATCATTATTCCAAGAATAAAAGTCTAAAAAAAACATCGGTTTCGCTTCTCGTACAATAAGATACAGATTGAAGTGTATAGATAATAAATATATATACTTACCTAATCTATCGACGCCCTTACAACGATGAAAAATACCCACAACCAGTTTTACACATGGTGGCAGAATCAATCGTAGTGCAACACTAAGCCCACCCAACAAACCAATGAGAACTGTAGTGGCAGCAATAAAAGCATATCGTTGATCATATGTGTATGTGCAACTATCAGGGTTGCAGGTTGTATAGTAGGTGCTATAATTATTGGATAATGTCCAGTTTTCGATAAACATGTTCGATACTAGTGGTTCAAATGTGGAGTTGGGTAAAAATCTACTGGGTAAATCTGGATCAAGTGCTGTAGTGTTGGCTCCACGAGGATCGATCTGGACCAGTATACCATGTGTGTCGAATGAGCGCCAATCGAGCAGAAATTGAATACATGATTGGTTGAAGAGACAGTCAAGTGTTGAGAGTAGTAACGAGTCTATCGGTGTACAGCTCTCATACATACCTGGCACAGTGATGTTTGGTTGTGCGTTGTGAATATGACATGAGCCAGAACTGCAATAGAATCCTAGCGGTCGACTACATTTGCTGGATATAGCGCATGAGCAGTTAGATCCAGAAGGATATATGGTTTGCAGAAGTAATCGAACATTTGCACGATCGGTCGTGACGACTATATCTGATGCATCGCTTAGGGAGTTGTAGAACTGATTATCTCGAATTGCCCTGCTTAGTTGAGAGAATAGAATCTGGAAAGAAGCTTGTGTTTCTTGTTGAAATTGTCGTGCCAGTTCTGTCGTCTTATTTTCGAATAATACATGTGACATC